AAGCAATTACTTTTTCTTAAAATTTCAAACTTTTTACTCAATTTTTTAAAATAAATTTAAGTAAAAAGTCTAACATTAAAAATAAGCAATTACATAGTTTTTATGGATACGGCCCAATTGAATTAAACTAAATTATTTCCCAAATTTTCCCAAAGAAAAAGTTTGCGTAAAAAAATATATACATACATATGTATACTAAAAAAAAATATTTTAGTTTGTAATAATGTTTGTTAAGTTATAATTTTGATTAAATAAATTGTTTTTTTTTATGTTTGTTCTCCAAATCTTTGAAACCCCTATTTTTCTAAGAAAAAAATAAATAATTACTAATAATTGTGATGTACACAATAATTCCAAGTAAAATTAAAATTATTATTTTTACTTGAAACGAATTTATCATTTCCCAAAAGAAACTTATTAAAATTATTATTTTTACTCCAAACAAATTTATCATTTCCCAAAAAAAAGTTACTATTTAAAATAATATTTTTTCCCCGAAAAAAATTCCCAAATATTTTCCCAAAAAAAAAGTATTTATTTAAAATGTTGGTAAATTTTTTCAATTTTTGGGGCAAATTTTTTCCGTAAAATCATTTTTTCTAACGTATGGCAAGTTAATTTAATTTTGATAAAAATACCATTTTTTATCTAAAAAGCTTTTTTCCTAAAAAGCATTTTTACCAAAATCACATTTTTTTTGGAAAATATTTCCGAAAGTGGTAGGTTTTTTAACATGAACATTAAAAACCCTCTGCATTCCATATAACATCCCTGTGGATGGAGAAGTTTTTGGGAAAAATCTTTCCCTTCGTCCTGATATAGTTAACATTTTTTTTTCGAAGTTTGTACTACAAACGCCTTCGAAATTCAAAATAGATTTCATTTTAATTCTTCAGAATTATTATTTTTTTAATCCACTTTTAATATTCATTAAACATCATTCGATAAAATTTAAATGCATTTTTTTTGTAATTGTGCACAGATAAACACTTATCGCAATAAATATGAGTAGCATAACAAAATATTTATGATTACATCCGTACTTGGTAAAGTTCATGGGAGTAAGAGTCACATAAAAAACACTTAGATATGAAAAAATTCGACTTACATACATAAATACTTATGAATAAAAATAATTTAAGTTTAATTATTTAATATATTCGTTGTTTTTTGTTTGTTTATCTGTCTGCAGTGTTGTGTGCGATCTCATTAAGCTTTCACAAATCAGCTGCGCTTGCGAATACTTGTTTTGATCTAAAAAATAATCATGAAAAAAGTTTCATTAATCTCGCTGTATTTTTGTTATCTTTTAAAATAAACATTTAAGCCGTTTATTATACAAACCTTCATCCGACTGTAAATATTTATGAGGCATTAAAAGTAGCAGCATACGTAACTATACGGCACAATTAAAACTCTAATTCTGATGATTTATGTAGTATTTCTGAATAAAAAAAATCTCCTCAGTGCAGTTAACTCACGTTTCCATCTCACATCAGTTGAAAATTTTCATTGCGTCATCACTTCGCGACTGTTTCACTTCTTTATATCCACACCGTTGAACACATGCTCCGGTACTTTTTCCCACAAATCCTTCAGCTTGTTGCCAATATTCGCTGGATCCTTTTTCAATATTGTATCCTTTGCCAGCAATGTTGCGGCAACGAAGCCCTCTTCCAAATCTTCCACCGAATTGCTAGTGGCTGATGTGGCTTCCAGTGATTCAATAGCCAACTGAAAATTTTCGAGTGGTAATAAAGAAAATTAGACAAGCGAAATTTTGTTTGAAAACTAACCAAAATAAATTGCCTTTTCCTTATTTTTCTTATTTCATTTCCTATTCCATTTCATATTTTACTACAAATTTTAAGAACAGTATCGGTTAGTTTTAGGACGGTACAAAAAATTAGGGGGCGTGGCACCTCCTACATTTCCAACTTGAAGCAGCAAAGATCAAAGAATTCAAAATAGGGATGATTTCGCTAACAAAATGTCTTCGGCCTACAAACACGCTCGGGAGTATGAGTAACCCAATCAACATCATTTCTCTCACCGCAGTTTTTTGTACTGAGTTTCTCTCTTTTTTCATGAGACTTCTTGAGGCTTGTAGGAGTTCAATGAGCAAAAGTAAGCAGTCAATGATTTGTTTTATCTTTGCCCTTTCAATTTGGACAGGTGGATGTACCAAGCCCCCTGAATATTTTTGGACTAGCCTTAAACTAACCGTAACTATTATTTTATTTTATTTTATTTTATTTTATTTTATTTTATTTTATTTTATTTCATTTTATTTTATTTTATTTTATTTCATTTAAAATATTTTAATTTTTATTGTTTAGATTGGATAAGCCTTTTATGTAATTTTTTCATTTAATTTTATTTTTTATTTAACCTCTTTTATTTCAATTTTAAAGTTTATGTTATGTTGGTTTTTATTTTTTTGTTTGGTTTTATTTTTCTTTTTCATTTATTTTTTTACTTTATTAAACCTTTTATATTTTATTTGGTTCAAATCGTGGATTATGTTTTTAATTGAAATCAATTGTTTTATTTTACTTTTCACTTCCAAATATTTTTTATTTTTTATTTATATTAATTTAATTTAAGTTATTTTATTGTGTTATTTAATTTCATTTTCGAATTAACCTTTTTACTTTGTCTATTTAAAATTATTGTGTTAGTTTAAACGTTTATTTTATTTTATTCTATTCCTTTAATTCTTTATACTTATATATTATTTTTTAGTTTTAATTTTTTTTACATTACACATTTATTTCTTCTTACATAAATTGACTTGTTTTTAATTTTTTATATCTTCCTTAAATAATATTTAACTTAATTTTTAATTTTTTTAATCTTGACTTTATGTTTTATTTTAATCTTTTTTGATGCAAATACTTTTTTTGTTAGTTTAATTTAATTGAATGCTTTGATATATTTTTTTACATTTGTTTAAATTTCCATTCTTTTTTGCTTTTAATCTTTTATTTTATTTATTTTATGTTATCAGATCTTAAACTAATTTACTTTATTTTATTTTATTTGTATTTTTCTTTTAATATTTTATTTTCTTAAGTGGAATGAATTTTTATTTTATGTTTAATATAATTTGATTTAATTTATTATGTTTTATCTTAATTTTATTTTATTTTTATTTAGATTTTTAGCTTTTTATATTAATGTTTAAATTTTTTTAAATTTAGTTCTTATTTTTTATATCTATTTCAAATGTTTGCATTTGCATTTGCATTTATTATATTTTCTTTATATATATTTTACTTTATTTCATTGTAATTTTAATGAATTTTATTTATTTTCGAAATTTTTGTATTTTACTTAACTTTAAGTATATTTTAACATATTTTTTATTTCGTTTCAATTTTGTTTTAATTTATTTTCTTTTACATATTTTAAGTTAATATTAATTATTTTTTATTTTAATTTAGTTTATTCTTATTTTTTTGTTTCCCTTTTATAAAGTTTATTTAATTTGTTATTATTGTTTAATTTTATTTTATTTAATTGTATGTCTTTATATAATTTAATTTCATCTACATTATTCAACATTTAATTTAGTTCCACATGTATTTAAATTTAAACTTAATTTTTTTTATCATTAATGTATTACCTTATATCATTTTATATTTCAGATTTTTTATAATTTTTAATATTTTGTTACACATTTTCTAATATAATTTAATTAATATTTTTCATTTAACTCAAATTTATTCCATTTCAATTTTATTTAATTTCTGCAAATAATAAAAATTCAAATTCGGTATTTTTGCTACTCACCGCGAACCTTGGCATACTGACTAAAGAGCAATAGGCGCAAAGCACCAATAACAATAACATTTGCATGGCAGCGAAGCGGTAACCCCGGGAGAAATTTTGATTTTTCAATGCACTCATCACGTAGTATTTATAAACAAATGCGCCAAATTACTTAAAAATATATAAAATATCTATAAATAAATATTTTATTTACGTGCTAACTGTTAACTTCTCAAAACAATCAAATCTTACACGCAACACTTTTAACAGCAGCAAATTTAATAATAAAAACTTTCAGCACGAATTCGAAATTATTAAATAAATCGAGATATTCTACTAGCACACTGA